GCTTTAACCAAGAACTTCATTTTTGTTAATTATCAAAATTACTTAACTTCGACAAATTTACATATTATTTTTATACAGAATAAGCCGGATCTAACGACGAGTTGGAAAAATTTGTCTAAACAGGCCATTATAAAGTCTATTCGTCGTTTTTTACCAAAAAAAAAAAAAAAAAAAAAGAAAAATAAAAGAAAGAAAGAAAGAGCCAATAAAAGTCACGAAAATTTTGATAAAATTCTTAACGACAATTTCCATTCGTAATTCGTTCCATTTATTTCTATAAATTTAGAAATTATTTTTCCATATTTTAAAATCAAAATAGATCGAGCTAAAGTGGAACGAAATTCTTTCAGACTTATCCACCCTTCCCCCTCCCCCCAACCCCCGTATATCGGCTTAATGCATTTCGAGAGGAAAAGGGGACATGAATTTTCTTAGGTCTTAGCTTTTTCTCCTCTTCTTTCTCAATTCTCTCCGAAACAACGTCGAGACGAACGTCCGACTGCATAATTCTTCGAGTTTATCTAGTAAATAGCAAGCAGGACAAGAGAACGCTCTTTTGTAGAGCATCGTAACTTACGAAATCGCGAGAACGAACGGGAGTTGCAAATCAAGCAGCGAATCTACTACCGAACATTCTCTGCCTTTTCGCTGTGCTTTTTCTCTTAACTACTAGCTGCTCGCTTATTTCCTCTCTTCGGTTCAGAGATTTTCAACCGGTCTTTTCCTTACTTCCTTTCTCTTCTTCTTACTTAACCTTTTAATCTCGTAAAACTGTTAGATGATTTAGAGAGGAGTTTGCTTCTCTTCTTTCTCTCTCTCTCTCTCTCTCTCTCTCTCTCTCTGCTTCATTCTTCAGCTGTAGTTTCTCTTAGCGTAATAATATGTAGTACAATTATTTCTTGCCTTTACAAATTAATTCGTTACTATGCTTATTTTTTATAAAATAAAAATCTGCATGACCAATACAAAGTGACCTTTTGTCACTGAGAATTGATGTTAAATAAAAAAAAAAAAAAAAAGTAAACAGATATCTTTTTATTAAATTTTACTTTTTACTAATATCCTTAAATCTTCTATCGTACAAACCATGTTGTTTCATAATAATTAAATCAATTTTAATAATATCCTACTTGATTAGATTTTCTTATACCGTCCTTTAACCGAGGAAGAGAAGAAAAAGAAAAAGAAAAAAATAATAGACATTATTTCAATAGCAAACTAAAGGAAGCATTATCGACTGGCGACATGAGAACAAAGGATTCGAGCTTAATTATAGTTTAATTACTGCGAGAAACCACGAACGTTCCCCCTCATTTCGAAAGACGTCGACGATGCTTCGTTCTTCTCTTTCTTGAAATATCCTTTCTTGTTCGTCTCCAAACCTTCTTTTTTTTTTTCTTTTTCTTTTTCTTTTTTCTCATCGAATCTCTCTTTTCTTTTGTTTCCGCGTTTAATACCGAACCGACCAGAACGATATAAATCTTTGATCTCGTTCGAAGAGTCGCTTATATTGAAGTTGAGAGTATTGTTCGTAAATAGGAAAATAGATAGATAGATAGATAGATAGAGAGAGAGAGAGAGACAGAGGGGGGAGGGAGAGAGAGAGGAATCACTATGGATGTTTTACAAAGAGAAACTACTAGCTCTCTCTACGTCAAACTCGATTTCTGTTTTTTCTTCCTTATTCCTTTCTCTCGCGTTACGTCTGAATTCATCTTTTAGGACTTCCTTAATTTCGCTCTATCTATTTCTCTCTCTCTCTATCTCTCTCTCTCTCTCTCTCTCTCTCTCTCTCTCTCGCACATCCTTTCTTTCTTCTCAGAGAAACGGACCACAACGATGAGCTTCGTACTAATTCGAAAAGCGATACGCCCCCGAATCGTTTCTAATCTCGTTCTCGCCGTGCTTGCAGGATCGCAATAAAGGCTGTGCATCTCTTGGCCTTTACATTCGTGGATCGAAATTGTCGAAAGGAAGAGAGAATGTGCTTTCGAATATAACGAAAGAGTCTTCTCATAGAGGAGACTCGTCATTTTACATGGGTGCACACGATCCACGAATAGATTGACTTTTACATTTGTATTATGTCTGTTCGAAAAAAAAAAAAAAAACGAAACGAAAAACAAAAAAATAAGGATGTCTATACTTGTTGCATATCAAATAACTTGGATTTCTCGATCGATCTCAACAAAAAAAGAAAAGTCAAAAAAAAAAAGATCGTCTCGAGAAATGCTCGATTTAAATCCTACCGCGATATTAAGTCTCACTATTTTTAAGGACATCTTAAAAAAGGATCTTTAATTTGGAAGTTGCAAAAATCGTCATCAGAAAGGAAAAAGTGAGAGAAAGAAAGAAAGAAAGAAAAAAGAGAAAGAAAGAGAGAGAAAGAAAGAAAGAAAGAAAAAAGAGAAAGAAAGAGAGAGAAAGAGAGAAAGAGGGTGGGGGGGTGGAGGGGGGAATTCTACCGTAAAAAGATCAAATGTCACGGGAGTCCTTTATCCTAGTAGAATAGTGTTCACCTGTGTGTTGTTTCTCGCTTACATACATACACGTCTATAGTATGTATATACAAATGTGGGTATACTTGAGAATATATACGAGCGTAACTGCAGCGATACGCTGCGGCGAAGTTCATTTGTGCCAGGTGACAAGGAAGCGTGT